GTTGTTACTTTAATTTGGGTTGGCAGTACATCAGACAGTGCATGGGAAGAAAAGGATATGGCACAACTCAGCAGCTACTAAAGAAAACAAACACCCTAGAAAGCAGACATAGACAAGCTCCACTGGAGGAGTAACTTTGCTCCTTCGATGCTGCACTATTTATACCATCATCACGCCATGGAGCCCTACTTACACATTAGGCTGCCACTCTGCAAGGTGCAGCACAGGCTCACACAGTTCCTTTGGCGTGCTCAGGGATGAGACAAGTTTTCCCACTTTGCTGAGAGAGATTTCTAGAATTATTCAGCTTACTAAAGCACAAAAAGACGTGGGCTGTTGCCTTGTAAGCACAGAGCATCATGAGCACATCCAGTGACAGTGCAGAAACAACAATTCTCTCTCAAACCAAGCTAACTAAGGAGAAGCAATCTCAGAGCAGGTAACCTGACTCACATGGCAGCGAATACACAAAATTTGCACAGAAGATATGTTGAAAGCCCAAGTTTAACAATGGATAAATGCTGCCAGCTAATAATAGGGTATTTACAATGAAACAACCTTACAGATATACTTTCAGAATGACTTCAATATAGAAAACTACAGCTGGACACACAGTATGATCCACAAGTACCTTCTTGTTACCATTCAGGAGGTCTAAGGTAGATATCAACTGCTTCAAGAACATAGGTAAGAGCGCGGGAGAACACGATCTTAAACAACATTACCTTTCCTAAGCAAGGCCCTACTGCTGCCAATTACGACCTTTATTCAGCGTGTCCACACCACGTGCTGGGCCGCGTAGGGTAGGGATGGTGGACGGCCAGAGAAATTTGCATGCAGGCTCACTTCTCCCTCTGCCACCACAGCTGCCCGCAATGCCTACGCTTCCCTGGAACTCGATGGCCCATTTACACTTTGAAGATTGCAAGGCAACTTTGTGAACCCAAACCTCGCTATCACTTCAGTCTTTGCTGACGTGACAAACAACACATACGTTGACAGGCTGTGGACGATTGTACCAGTCAACAGGGTCAATACTGAACCTCTGCCCCAAACGGGGACTCAGGACAGGGATTGTTTGCCCCTGTCCTTTTCTCTTCCAGAGAGGGGAAAAAACACAAACAGTCTGAGGGCTAGTTTTCAGCTTCATGAAAATTCAACTGTTCATTAAAGCACTTTCCACACAGACGAAAAATATTAGCAATCCTTCAGAACTTGATGTTCATATGAGAAATGAGTAACTCTAAATTGTGACCAACTTGGAGGATACCCCTAACTCTACGAAACTTCCCTAAAGACAAAAGTTGGATCACTTTCTGAAAAACATGCGTAACTAAAGTACAATGCAGGATGGATACAATACAGCCTCCGTAATTTTGGGGAATGTAGTGATATCCTTCTGACCTTAAAAAAAAAAAAGAGACAAACTCTAAATCCATACATAAAACTTTAAATCAAGCAGTAAACATTACAGTGACTACTGCTAATGAAACTCTCTTCTGGTCAACTGATTACACATAAAAATATTTCTGCCACTAATCCTGTTTTATTAGGGCCTTGGCCCTAAGCCTCTCTGGGTTCTGCTTAGCGTGGGACTGTCCTGCAGTGGCTGGAAGCCAGTCTCAGGGCGGCTCTGCTTTGTGCAGACACGCGAACAAGCGCCCAAAGGCAAATACCGGCTGGGGATTGCCAGCGAGTGATGACTACTGATCCCTTCTCATCAGACCCCCTGCCCAGAGGAGGCTGTCATACCGCGCATCGCCCGGGGCCGGGCAGTGCTACGGTCTCTTCTGCTGCAGGATTGGCAGAAGGGAGCCCAGGATCTGACCAGATGCTACCAAGCACAACCTGTAATTGCCCAAAAGTGATTAGTGAATTTGGAGTTACGTGCCAACCCCTGTCAGAACGTCAAATACTTTTAGGTAAACATGTCCTTACTCTCTCATACTCAGCAGCGTGACAAACAGAACTAACTAGGGCATCACCAAAGGTTCTTTGGTGAAACAATCTGGAAAAAGGATTTTATCATGTTCTTTTACTGCACAGCAACAGCAAGAGGAAGTGTCAACTCTGTTTTTATTTATTGCGTAAAGGAAAGCAAGCCAAGAGGGCTGAACAGGGGAGTGCCTCTTTCATGTCTGAAATCAAGGTGGAACTGGCTGACTCAAGGTAAAATAAGTGAAGTACTTAATTTAAACCAGTTTTTAAAAAAAAAAAAAAAGATTCCATTGTATGCATACATTATCAGAACTGGGATAATTATTTAGATGGACCATCAGCCTGACTCTGAATAGCCGTTCTAAAATTAAGAATGTAAGACTGAAATGTATCTGGCTGCATTACATTTTTCAATTATTTATTGCAAGAGCTAGCAGATTCATCGGGAAAATTTAGCTAAAACTTTCTCCCCTCCATCCTCCTCGCAATAAAACTATCAACCTTTTTAAACTTTCTGGGGGAAAATACAAATAAAACCTTTCGTCTGGGCTGACTTTATCAGAATTTACTTTTGCCAAACAGGAGACATTTAGGCCGAACACATCGTTCAGCTGCTTCTAACTGGCCACCTTCTGAATATTACAATTATTTCATGTCATTGTTCTCTTCTACAGGTTAAGGTCTTTGGAAAAAGTCTAATCTCCCATGATACTTAAACTGTCTTCGTTATAACATGTTACATGTTGCAGTGAGGGTACAGAAGAGTGCATCAACACAGAAACGAACCAACAGATGCTGGCCCACGCAGATAAGTGACAGAGTGAGCTACTATGAAAGAATGAGGTCCAGGATTGATATGACTCAAGATGAAATATTTTAGTTTAAAAAAAATTAACCAAATGTCACTGCATTTTTTTCAGAAAACAACCTAAAACATCTTTCCTTCTGGAAAAAGTTAAACATGTATCTTTTTGTCCCAATTCAGGACAAAAATCAGAGTATATATTTTCAAGTAGGTCAGAAATCAAGCTCTCAACTCTCTAATGAGGGCCTCATCTGAATTTAGCAAGACTTCCATGGGTATAAAATAAAATACTTGAAAAGTCTCCAAGCTCTTACAACATTTAATCAAATATGTAACTGCATTCACAATAACATTTCAGAGACATTACTAGAGCCTGAAATCAGTCAAGTACAGAAGCTTCCATAGCTTCCAGTCTACATTTTTAAACTTTTACGATTAAGAAAGATTATTAAAAAGAAGTCAACACTGAAGCAATATAATTTTGAAGTAACAGTATGAATTTACTGGAAGCCCAAATGACTTTTACGTTATTGGTTTTTTTAATACGCAGTCAAAAACTGTGGGCTTATAGGTTTTATAAATATTTCAACTTTCTTGATTTGTAGAAGCTCAGGGTGTCAGTAAGCGACAACGGTACTACGCTTGCAATAGGTTGTCTGTTTAGCAACCGTGTCGCTGTGTGCATTATCTACAATAAGAGAAAGTGCAAGGGTCTGGGATGTGTTTTCTTTTTTTCCCCGAACAGATGCATATTTTTAGTTTGGAAACTCCTTAATATAAAGTAATTAGCAATATAAAACCCATAATTCTTCTTGTAGCTACGAGACTAAGGACACAAACAAGTACAAGATGTTCATGCTATCAGCTGAAGAACATGGAGCAGAAGAACATGGGGAAGCTGAAATGCATACATTAAATTATTCCATTCTCTAACCTACTTTACATAATGTGACCATGAAGATGACTCCACTTCTGCATAATGGATTCTGATATCAAACCTACCTTTCTCTACAGGATGAACAGGAGCACGAATAGGAGCAGCTACTACAAGTAGAAATTGCTTAAACACAATTCCTTTCTAGACAGCAATTGGCAAGGAAAAAAAACGGAAAAAAGTAACTGGAAGCAGCACCGACGTTACATTTACTGAACAGAGCTGCTTTTCAAGGTCAGCAACTCCTCCTTTCCACACTAGCCTATGAAAACAAGCCTGCCAGTAAAGTGGTGAAAGAGTTGCAAAGAGTTAATAGTTTGACGGTATGCTTACGCTTTCCATCTACACCCCCCTAGTTGTGCCTGAGTGCAGAAAGTGTTGGTTCTTCTCCAGTCAGACCTGCTCCTTGCTGTGGGTTTCCCACCCTTTCTGCGCGTTGAACTTAGCAACCATGCGGCTGTGGGATGAATGGGTTTAGCAGGCTGGTTTTTTTTGGCAAGTTAGTTTTCCATTGGAGCAACTTGCTGAGCCCACTCACTGTACAGCCACATGATCTCTAGATCTGATGCGACAAAAGTGGCGGAAGGTGTGGCCAGGGATGGAGGGAAGAGTAAGAGCACTCTTTGAGAGCAGCCCACAGTTAGATCAGATCGGCTGCCCTGTGAAACTGCAGCCCGTGGGGTAGATCCCTATGGGTGCGGTTCTACAGCAGCATAGCTTGCCTGGGATAAATACTGCTGCGGACTTCCTGATGGTCCACACCAGCTCCTGGGCTGTAAAAATCAATCAAGGAGCAGCTTCAGGAAGGCTGTCAATGCCTCAGCTCCCTGAATTGAGGGATCACATGAGCACCAGTGTCAGGTCAAGAGAAGGAACAGGACTGCGGCAAGCTAGATTTATACTGGCTTAAATTGCTATGGAATTACACTAATCATATTAGGGAACTTAATCCCCGAGATATTTGGAAAAGCTCCCAGGGAAGGGTTCTCCTGCTAGCCCGCCACCTCTACTGTTTGTACGATGGCCTTGCCATTTGGCAAGGTATTTGCTATTTGGCCAAGACGACACAGCTGGCTTACGTTGCTACTGGAGAGGTGGGGGGAAAAAAACAAAACAAAAAGACAACTATCTGATTAGATTCACCATGTGATGAGGGTGAGCAAAGACCAGGAGGGACACAGAACAGGAAATGTACTTCTCTAAGTAAATAAATAAATAAGAATATGGCTCCATCAGAAAAGCAAAGGCAGGACAGGAACCCCCCTCCCCCACGATCTTGCAAAGTGAACTTGCCTTTCAAACAACCAGCTAAGGACTACTCACCATTAAAAGGATTGATCTTCTTTGAGATTCGTAAAGCAATTGATTCCTTCAGGTCTTTCTTCTTCACACACTGAATGCCCAAATTCTGAAAACTGAAGCACATATGGCAAGGCTTCAGTAACAAATAAAATCCCCAGTGTAGAAAATCTAAATTACTTATTGTTAAAAGATACTCTGGTAAGAGATGGTATAAGAAACACAACAAAACAAAGGGGAAAAAAGGGAAAATGCCTATTTTGAGAAGGGTGCAAAAGATATGAAAAGCAGGAGTGTTACTTTTCTAAAACGTGAGCAGAAACAGAACTGAGAAATACTGAAATAAAATGCTCAAGAGGAATATACATTTCTATATTAAAACTTGTTACTCTACAGTAATCCTACAGTGATTAAAATAAGCAAAGTTAAAATATTCAGGACCATAGTTTCAGCTAAAGTGACAAATTTCTTTGGATATTAATAAAATTGCTAATTTGCATTAGCTAAGGATCTGCTCTACTTTTTTTTTTTTGTTTTGTTTTAAACCAGTGACTGTAAATATCTCGAACACTATTTTAAAGGTTTTTAAACCATGTAAAAACAGCTTTTGAAGTCTCATCTAGTTATGGAAAAGTTCTGAAGAGCTGCAGCCCTTCCTGATTTGCATACAAGTACAGGTCACCCCGGCCCAGGAGGGGGGGGGAGTCCCATGCGAGGTGACTCTTTCCCACATGGAAAAACCATGACATCATCAAAGCTGAGTGGATGTGAAGCAGGAAGTAAAGAAATCTGTGTTTGTGATGTTACAAAAAGCTCAGAAGATAGCCTCTGCCAGCAGGCTCTGCTGATCCCGCTCCAGAAATACGGGCAGCTTCCCTTCCTTTGAAACCCCCACAAAATATCTTTACTTTAGCTATGCCTAAAAAACACCTCAAATCCACCTGAAGACATTCCTTATTCCTGCCACAACTCTCCAGAAGAGTCCTATGTTTCCCTGCCCTGAACAAGACCATCGTAGCTCACAGGAATTCCTTAACTGCCACATACGCTCCGTTCAGAGGTTCCCAAATCCTCTGCAATCACAGACTTCACTCCCACAACCCGTCTTCATGAAAGGAATGCATGAGCTTCCTTTTGAACTTTACACAGGGATCTAGAAGAAGATCAAATGCAGCAGCATGCCATAATGCAGCACTTTGGCTTTATATTGCGGCTACGGACATTCAAGATTTGTACTGTGAGCGATCCTATGCCTACGCTATCTTGCAGGTACTACTTCTCCAGGCCTTGACCACAGCACGCATGGAAGGGGTCTGCTGGCCAAAAAGAACAGTTACTCTCCTAGGGTGATTTGAAAAATGCTTCAATTCTGTGAATAGGCCTCGTTCCACATTATACTCCCAAACTGTGACCTGGCAGTCCCAGGCTCTCCAGCAGTCCACCGTAAGCTACGGTATCACCCATATACACATATGGGAAGAATTAGCCTTGAACAAAAGTTTTACCTAGCTACGCAAGACCTGACAGCCATTATTCTGCATCTTTCGACCACAGAGTATCAAGCCTCTCACAGAGCCGAAAGAGACTTAAGCCTTTTCTAAAACATGCACTGTCACAGTGAAAGTGTCTATTTAATTATCACTGAATAGAAGGCCAAATCAGAGAAGAAACTGGCAAGAACCTCAGCAACCCTGCGGGGTTTCGTATCAACCTTAGCTGACAGGAAGTAAGCAAGATAACGAGAAGACAGAGGGAGAAGTTGGAAGAGAGAAGAAAAAAAAAAAAACAAAAAGAGAGACTTGCCCAGAAAAAAAAAAAAAGCCCTATGATATCATCCATGTAGAGAGACAGTGAACTAGGAAGTAAAAACCTTAATACATAGTCAGTCACTTGAGCACCAACATTCATACTTTTGCCTTGACGTTTTGGCCATGGGGGGGCCCCTGTGGCCAAACAACGGCCGATCAAATTTAGATAGCAGTCTACACACCATTACACAACAGGCAGAACATTTTATTCAGCTAAAACTACATGGGAAATTCTGAACAAGTAGAAGGCACAGTAATTACCCAGACCAACCCCAAATCTGCAGCTAGTAATTCCAATTCTGCAAAAAATTGGGATTTTTGCTCAGTTTGGGATGCTCAGCATCAGCAGGCAGCCAGAACCACTACCAAGAGAGGACATCTCCCACTCACTGGTATTACATGAGGCTTTTCTTTAACATGGACTCCAAGAGAAGGATGTGAAGACTGAGTCACCAGCCACAAAAAGGAAAATAACTTTAAACATCCAGATCCAATTATGCATCATATGGCTCTTTCATCTCAAAGCAACCAGCGATTCGTTAAAAAATACGAGTGTACTAATGCTGGGAATACTTCCAAGAGAGTGTTCAGAGCCTCTTCCCATCAGGATCTTAGATGCCAAGCTCAACTGAAGCTCACAGTTTTGCATTAGCAGCGAAGGGAAAACAGCCCAGCTACCACTCTGTAAGAAACACATGGGCTTACAACCCAATGATACTGAGAAGAATTCACGGACACAGCAAACAACCATAGGTGCTTCGGATGAAATAGAGAAACAACATTATGTCAAAGAACAGGATTTAATTATATGCATGCATATAATGCAGATGAGATCAAAACTTGCAGATATACGCAGAGCATCCCAATGCTTTTTGGCATTGCACCCTGTAGCTAATAGATTCAAGACCAGACACTCTCGCACAAGGCTTGCGCCCAGTGAATTGTAATACCCAGCCAAAAAAAGGGGTTAAGAATCAGGCTTTTTTTCTTCAGGTTAGAAGCCACAGAGATGAGCGCAGGAAGTGGGATGGGCTAAAACTGCAGACATCCTTTGACCTTGGGTGAGGAAGCTTGATTTGAGAAGACAAAGGGGAAGCTGGTGAATGGATGGTCAGAGGGAGGCGCATCAGGTCCCTTAACAGTTTCAAGATATCCACAGCTGCTTTTTAGATGATGTAAGATGTATTTGCAGAGGCCAGTGAGGATGAGTTAAAAAACAATCAAAATGGGAGATAAGTGCCTGAAGGGAGAGTTCTGCCCTTCGTGTGGGGCTGGTGGCGTGTGCGTGGGGGGAGAAACATTGGAGGAATTACATTTACTAATCCCTTTATATACAATAACAATAAGGATTAGGTGAACATTGTGAACACAGCTAGAAACAATAAACTAATAACATCTGTAACAGCAAAAGACAGTACAATCAACATATTATGTGCTACCTGAATACATTTGCTGCACATTCACAATCAGCTGAGTCCAGGCTGTGAGTTTAAAAAAAAATGTCTCAACTATTAGAACTGTTTATTTCATCATTAGGCAATCATCATCAAACAGACTGTCTTCAGCTCCCTCCTTTAATAGTGTTCTACTGACTAAACCCACATAAATATGGAGTAATTCCACTAACAGAGTCACATCAGACTTAAAAGCAGTACGCAAGAACTACAGATCTACACCGTGAAATATCTACCATGTTTTCTTCCCAGTTTTCTTCTTCAGCTCAGTTATGTTTACCCCCCAGCAATAACCTACTTCTAAATATACTATATTGCAAACTATGAACAACAGTGTGTCAGTTCTAAATTCCCTTCCAAGGAAATAATCAAAGTCTCCATTTTTTACAGTTCACTTTGTTCTTATTTTACCTCATTGGACATTGGTAGGCTTACAAGAAATGTCATCCTATCCAGCTGTATTTTACATACTCCTGACATCCTTCTGAATAGCACTGAGAATTAGATCCTATACAAAGTCTGAATTTTTCTCTCTCCACAAATAGATCCTTCCCTGGCACGCTTGCTCTACGGAGTTGCACGATATACAGCCCTTGGCCGCATGTGGTTTTCTATCTAAGGATTTCCTTTTGATCACCGCACTACTAGTCCTAGCTATCATGTCTATAAGGATGACAGTCAACCCTATGCATCCTGCATCAAGGGCAGGATTTTCACAGGTGAATACTGACTTTGGATAGCTAGCTTGACAAACCTCGACACCTTGCTTTAATATGCACGCTAACCAAGCAATGCCAAGGTATTTGAAAAAGCTGTTAAGATCGTCTCTGCAAAGTAAGACCTACTTCACAATGAAGAAAAGCTAAGAAGTCTACCAGAATCTTTTAATATAATGGCCATACTTGTGGATTTTATGGGCTTCAGCAGAATCTATGTTTTTACTCAAAAAACAAAACAGAAACAACTCAAACACCCTAAACCAAGGAAACAGTGACAACATCCTAGTACATTTCTAGGTCTCACTGTCGCAACCACAGTCTTCTAAAAGACGTGGCGTTCAGTCAGTACAAGCTTTTTTTTCCAGAGTCCCCATAAAGTCCAAATAAAATTTCTGTGGAAGATGTGAACTTCCCTAAATGTCTTATCACCATGAAGCACAACTCACCAATTCCAATATTGTCATTACCCATTCTACTACTTATCATCTTTGCATACTCAATGTGGGAGAGACAGTCAAGCTCAAGAGTAAGAAGTGCTGCTGAACAAGACCAGTAAAGAAGTGGGAGAAAGGAAAAGGAGACGGATAATGGGGGAACAAACAAAGCAAAGAAAAGGGGCTAGGAAAAGAAAGGGACAAAAGATGAGCGTGTGAAGTATTGAAAAGAAAGGATATACTTCAAAGAAAAAAAGTTGCCCTCTCTCTGAGATGGATTAGTAGAATTCAGCAGAGATGGCATACTAATTGTCCTCTTAATCTCTGGTCAGAATTTTAAACCATAAGATCAGCATATCACTTGCATAATTGAATTAATTCCCAAGCAACACCATTACTTACGACAGGACTCGCCGTTCTGGCCCAAACTCTGCTTCATAGTAACCATCTCTGCAGTCTTTGCCAACCAGATCATGAGGGTGCGGCTTGTAGGGTTCATTCTTTGTTACCAGTGAAGTCCTTATTTTGACTTTTCCAAAGTAGTTCAGAATCTACAAAAATGTAAGAGATTTTCTAGATTTCAGACACCAGATTGAGTAAAGTCCCCACACTTAATAGAAAACAGAATTTGTTTTAATCTTCTCCATAGAAGAAACACCACAATAATTTTACAACAACGAAAACTGCATTATTGCTTTGTAAGAGAAAAGCCCGGACCATAGCTCTGAAAATCCAGAAGTTTTGTTCATTCTGTTTCAGTTCAGTTCATTTTACACTGAAAACCCAAGCATTTCGCAAAATATTTGAAAAGTGAAAGTTTTCAAAAAGCCTTCATCATCTATTTGACAAACTAAACCAACATACTTAATCAGCTTCTTTGGCAACATTACCAGGTGATCTGTAACGAAAAACTTCACTGGTCACTGTGAAACAAACCCGTATTTGACGTTCGACTCACTGGGTTCACTTATATCACCATACTGCAAGAAGGGGAAGGAAGCCTTAAAGCCTCTAAGGATTTTTTGGTTTCTTTCTTTTTTTGAGAATGGAGATCCATTACTTCACTACGTCATCAGGGCTCTCGATATGAATTGAATTCATCCCTGTGCAAAAGGCCAGCGGTGACACCTAGGCAACAGAAGCTTAGGCCTGAGAGTAAAACACTTTGTCACGCTCTAAGACCAAACGTGACAGGACATATGCCATTATCATATCTCGCCTCATAGTGAAAGGTGTAAAATTCTACCCCGGCGACCACACACAAATGCTTACTGAAGGACAAGACTACGTTCAAAGATCTTAGGGAAAAAACTCATAGAGCCTCAGGGATAATTACCTGTACACTAAGCAGTGAATGAGAATCTTAGGATAACAATTACAGTGTGACAATAGCTCCTATGAAGTCTATTCTCTTAATTCTCAGATGAATAATCAAGAGGGGCACTAAATTCTCAACCTCCTTATTAGGGCCTTCACAGCAGTCACCCGCCTAATTCCACACACATCTCTCAAGTGCAAAGAAGCCTGCCCTCACGCTGACAGCTACCAGTGAAGTCAGCGATGGTCGTGTGGGTGAGTCTGAAAACAGAGTCTGGCCTAAATTGGTTGAAGCATAACAACTTGAAAGCAACTATAAGACACTTCGGCACACAGTTGTGCAGAGGTGAGCGCTCCTCCTCCACTTCCCCTGCCCTATAGCTAACTGTTCCTCTCCTTCAGCCCTTTCTTTCCTCCTCCTAAGCCTCTAATGACTCATCATCATGTTTTCAACCAATACCTCAGTCTTTGACTTAACCTATCCATTTCTAGCATCCATCATCTGTTAGCTTCTGCAGTCTCTAATTTAGCTCCTTTCCTGACCTTCATGTAGGCCACTGTTTCTTTTTACCCTTAAAATAAGACTCTCTCGTCACTCTTTCATCTTCTTCAAATATTACATCATTTCTCCCTCATTTCACTCCCAGTCCCTTGAACTTGAAGCCTGGTCTAGCTGCTTTGATTCTCCAGCTCCTCCTTGATGTTCTTCATCTCAACTGCACTGCGAAATTTAATCTCTTCCTGGCCTCTCTGTTCTCATCCTCACTGATGTTTCCGTCTCTGGAGGGGACTCCCCTAGCAGCTCATCTGCACTAAAGCCTCCTACAGTCTTCAGGGAGGCAGGAATTCACCTAGAAATCACCTCCTAGCAGTAAACAATCAGCTTTGTCATCAGTGGTCACCTGTATTAAAGAATAAACTATGCCAGGATTTGTCAGTCACCTATCAAGTCCCATTTTCCCTTCAGGTTCTGGCTGACCTGCATGTGCAGCACAGTCCAGGCTAAGAGGGATCACGTGCTCATACTGGTCATCAAACCTGTGTCCTGACAAGGACTTACTGCTTTAGGCTGAGGGTCTGTGAAAGCATTTGCTCTTTCCAGAAGACTGCGTAGTTCCTTGTTCAATTGGCAGAGTGCTGAAAGAACAATTGAGCAAGATTTCCATAGTTTCCCTTATTCCTTCACCAGCTCTGGCACTACGCTAGCCAAGGGGTTGCCTTCTTACTTGCTTGTTCCTTTAGCGATTCTGGCTTCAGGGTTAGGCCAGCCTGGTCGCTCTGCGTAGTAGCTCACTCTGCTGCTCAGCACACCCGTTGCCAATACCATCGTTCTCAAACTCTCCCCTTCTCAAGGAGGAGGCTGAGGCTTTTATGCCTCAGCTTAGAACATCCCATATCTTTCAGACTTCACCTCCCCTGTATCTCTCTCTCTGCTGCAATTCCAAAGACTCCATCTTTAGCTCCATTCTTTCCACACTCTCACACACTGCAGACACACAGATGCACAGCTTCCATTCCTGAGGACCATAATATACTTCAAGATTGCAAATACTGATGACTTCCCTTTTATACTTGAACTTTCTGTTCTTATCGCAACTCTCAAAGATTCTCTCCAGATTGTAAGAGATAAAGGAAAACCTATCAACTTAAAACTTCAAATAGCAAACCAGAAAAACTCTTCTGTATTACCCTACCCATCTAGGACTTCCCAGACACATTCCTTTGTCCCACATGTAAAGGAAACAACAGCAAGATTGGCAGTTAACTTTCACAACATCTCCAAAACACTTCCATCCACCTCCGCTGTCCATACCTTTGTCTCTGCTTTGATCATAGCTGCCAGGACTAGCCTGAATCCCTTCATTCTGGATTTCCCAACCTATCCTTAATGCAACCACCCAGCTCTTCTTCACCCGCAGGTGCTCTGACCACATAATTCCCCTTTCTCAGCTCCTTTTTAAATTCTGTATCCCCTTCTGACTTCATATACTTCACGGTAGTTTCTGTTGCAGAAACTAATCACTGAATCACTGGCTGCAAGTCACTTTCTTACTTTACTCCTTTCTACAGAGTACTTTCTTTCATGCTGCACCAGCAGTGAGACTGGCCTTTTCAAAATCTGTACACGGACAGCCTCCTTCAGAGCCCTCCCAAAATTCACATTACAGTCCAAAACAGTTAAATTAAACCCAAGGCACAAAACTAAGAAAGCAGAACATGCGAACATACAGAAAAAGCTAAAAACAAATGATTCTCCAACACTGAGTAACATTACTTTGAGTTCCCTCTGTACTGGTGCTTTGTTACCTACCTGTACATCATCTTCTGTTCTGCTAAATGTGGAGCAAAATCTTTAATGACCAGCAGCAAAGAACTCCTTTTCCAATCTGTTTCAACTACATTTGGATGCCCAGGAAAGACTGGCACAGCATGAAATGAGGAACATCCTCTTTATTTACTGCATCAAATCAAACGCATAGCTACAGTACAATGCTAATGTGGGCAATGATAATCCCGGATAAAAGTAGTATTACCTGTATGGAAGGGAACGTCTTATTGTTTTCTGTACTGTGTTCTCCTGGAATGCTGCCTGCTGATCTTCCCTCACATTTGTATCTGAAACGCATTCCCCTTTGCCTGGGTTGCTCAAATATTTCAATGTAGGGTTCAGGGCCACCTTTAAAAAAAAAATGAAACACTTTCAATGCTAGTAGTAGAGACTAAAAAGCAGCAGAAGGCAAGCTACGTGGTTAGCTGCTACATAAGAATTAGAAAATCCAGATGCTTTTATTGGTTATTACCTTTATTTCATTTGGTCTACCTTGTCAGACAATCAACTCTTCTTTCAATGTGTATACACGCAACCAAAGGTGAGGGGTAAGGAGGGGACAGCAGATTTAAAATGAAGTGTCCAGGTATCAATGCCATGTAAATAATCAGCAGAGGATTCTGCCCTCCCTCCCATCTCCCCTGGAACTTAAAATCTCTAATAGCTAAAAGAAATTATGTCTGATAAAAGAGGATTTTATACAACAGAAGAAAAAAAATCATTATTTCAGGGGAACAGTTGATATTTTTTAATTACAATACACTTTTAGGAATGGTTGTCCTCTCAAAGTACAGGTACTGTCAGTAGTATGTTCTCTTGAATAGCCTCTGAAAGTAAAGATATTTCCTCAGAATCGATTGATTTAGTTCCCATTATAGTGAAGCAGAAACTATGCAAATTATGAAAGAAAAAAACAGAAAAAAAAATACAGAACCCCCCCACACCCACTGCTACTGGTTGAGTACCATCACTGAGGGTCTCAGAAAATACACGATTGCTGGTACTGCAGTTTGACCTGCCCACTTCCCACAGGGCTAGCTTCTGGTTGCAGGATCCCCCATACACAGAAAACATCTTAGTAAAGACTACTGGGCAGTTGTCAAAAGAGGCTTTTCAGGAAATGTGACAGACAAGAATGAGAGACAGCAGCTGTTTTTAATGAAAGGTTTAGAAAGACTTTTGACTTAGCATGAGTTTCGCTATTTTAAAGTAATGTTTTACTGACAGCCAATATATTCAAGGTATCGAACATATCTCACTGAGAACAGCCAACAGGATAGTCAGTCAAACAGTGACAACAGTGGGATGGCATGTGAAAAACAAATAACAGAGGGAAAGTAAATATTGTAGAAGTTGAATCATCATGGTGTTACACGATCAGAAGAACACAACTTGTCACCTTGCTCTTACTTGTATGTATGTTTTACTTGAAGACATTTACAGACCGCTATGGAATGGCAGCACATGAAAGGAGCTCTGATGCTGGCACTGCCTTCAACACTACCCGCCTTTCCAAAGTCCGTCAGCTGAATGCCTTTTGAAGGGCAAACTGCATTTCAACTTCAGGCTGTATTTGGTGGCAAAATCTGAGAACGACAGTTTCACGTTGCTTTCTAACCTTTTATCAAAATGGCAATAACAAAACTGATCACCTTCCATCCAGTAGATTTTAAGTCAGTTTCGGAAGACAGACCCTGCGCTGTCACATTAAACACATCTCAGCCACTACTCTAGCCCCAGTTACTCACAAGGATGGGCAATTTTACGTGTGCCTCTCAGATCCTTCAGATAAGTTTTCATATTTTCTCCTTCTGGAAAACAAGCAAATCCAGCAAAGGGTGAGGATGGATGGACAGTATTAACAAAAAAGCCTAGAATTCGTGCAAAGCTGGCTGCAGAGAGCAATCAGATGCCTCAGCTCCTCACAAAGTCAAGCCCACACATCAGTGTACGACTATGCAACTTTCACACGTAAAACTTACTTATGCTAACACATATATCAGGTCGGTCCAGTGGACAATAAGAGGAGTGACTGTTGGGTATTCATTAGCCTCCCATCTCCATCACGTAAGCGAGGAGAGAAAAGAATCTCACTTTTCCATCCCTAGATAACACAGCGTATCACAAATACAGACATATATCTATATATTAAATTAAAAATCTATTTTAGATGTTACGGTGACAAAACTGGAGTAAAGTGCCTAATAATCTTCTTTCTTTGGAGACAGACACATGCTTGCATAGCTGCTAAACAGACCCACAACACACCCACATACCTTACGTATCTGTCAAAACTAGCTAGAGCCTTGCTGTGTGAAATTGCTATAGTACACAATAATTTCAAGTCTTTAACTCTCTCTGCTTTAACCAATGATTTCCCTTCACGCTCTACTTACTAATACTCGCTTAAGAGGACTTTTTTTTCTCACCCGTTAAGAGCACTTGAGTATTTTAGAACTCTGGGCTCAATGATCTTTAGGGGACTGCGGTCGAAACAAATGTCATTGAAGGCAAACCCACCGCTTAACAGCAGGTGTGTTTGTGGGAAAGTTAATAAGCTCAGTGACGCGGTAGCCTCCAGAGATTAAATATTAAACTTCGTTTTATCTTGGTTCTCACTCTCTCTATTTAAGAATCATGTTATTATCTCCACCACAATTATTTATCAGTGTCATCATGTCTTGTGTAGAGAGGAAACACATAAAAGTGGTTGCGTGAACTAAAGGTATTATCAGCACTCTGCAGTGAAGTGGAGGTCTGTTCAGTGTTCCCTATTTCTGTAAATAAGCAATGTACTTGTGAAGTGGCACTGTTTAATTATTTCATAATCTACACACACACACACAGTTGCTGGAGAACTGTCCTTTTGAGATCTTGTTTTGTTTGTCAAAGAAATATGAGCTATGTCAAAAATTGACACTCTTCCACCAATCCTGTAAGAGAAACGTAAGGCTCCTTATATTACCTATTTGCCCGCATCTACTCAGCCAAGGGTTTGAAATGGAAGCAAAACAAAAATCTAGCTAACCCTTCATTTAAGGAGACAGAGCTTTAGAGTTTCATCTGCGTTTGTGATTATAATTGCCTATGCACGTACCAGCAGTAGAAATATTACGCTACATATTACAAACTGCCTCTTTTCATTGTAAAATTGTTGCCCCCCCCATCAGTGCTCCAGTAAATAATTTAAAAGGAAATGCAGGAGATCAAGTGTCCCAATTACACAAGCAAGGAAAAAAGGTAACAGCACTGAGAGTTTAGCCAGCTTACACTCGTTCAAGAACAAAAGGCTGTTATATTCTGAACTGTAGGAGCAATCCAAAAAGGTACAAAAGGACAATCATCCAAAAAAATCAAAACAGACCATCAGACCTCCCCAAGACAAGAAACCTGGGACAGTTTAAAGTCTAACACCCTCTAAGCCATTAGGATTAAAACTAAAGGACATAAATAAAGGCTTCCTACCTATCTCCTACTCCTCCATTCAGAAGCAACTTCTTTAAACATGCCTGCTGAAGAGTTATCAAAGACTAAGTCTTTTTACCCTGGAACGCGTGTTGCAGGCAAGGCAAGAGGAATAGGCAAAGTATTCATCTTAAAATGAGGGTCTGTATCCATAAAGCAGAATTCCTGAGGCAGTGGAGGAGACTTAGTTGGACCTTTGGGATGAGGACGTTTAGAGGTGTGGTGAGATTGGAGGAAGACAAAATGCCACCAGGTAGAGGGACAACTAGACGGTGGATTCATGTTTCCTCTTGTTGCTTTGCTCAAACGAAACAGGCTCTGGAAGGACCACATAATTTGTAGTTTTCTTGCATGGAATACCTGTGAACGTATTCTTGTGCAATATCTGAGTATGCAAGCAAAGTAGGCGTGGGCCACAAGACCAACTCGAACACGACCTTTGAGGAAGATGTGAATACATCACCCAAAAACATCAGGTTTGAGGTAAGTGCAGTAAGACACAGATGGGAAAAGTGCTGCCCTTTAACTCCAGTACTATTGTTCTGTGCAGAACTCTGGTGACTCTGTATACTCCAAAGCAAAAGCCATTTCCAAAAAGTGAGAGCAATCTAAACACTTACAACCTCCTGCAGTAGCTCAGGCAAAAAACACCATGGTACAAGATTTGCTGAAGAACATTCTGGCTCCATCTAAAATAACCCAAAGTGTAAACACATATATATTTTAGAAAGCAGTAACCTACCTAGGACTTCATAAACTGTGCAGAGTCAAACAGAGACAGAACTGCTCATGAACTTCCTCTTTGTTATCGTGTGACATTACAGAATAGCAACAAAAAAAAAAAAAAAAACACACCAAAACCCAGCTACAATAGCTGCTAGTACCAGGAAGTTAAGAACTTCCCCCGCTGAAAAATTCCTTATCTAGTTCCTAATTACATTGAAAATATATTAGAGATAAGAAAAAAGTGCTACCTTCAAAATCAGTTTAGCCATTATAAAAATATACACACACACACACACACATATATATGTAACCTTTATAAGATACCCTCCATACAAACCCACTAATTTTATTTCTCAATTGATAGTGAGCATCTACACGCGTATCAAGAGCACAAAGTTTATACGTTGGTAAGAGACAAGAGAACACACACATTAACTCGGAGGCTGGAGAGCGTCTTTCCCT